TTAAATTATCCAGTGTAAATTTATCGTTCAAAGAAACACATTTAAGAGCGACAGTTTTTTGAGAATTTTAAAACTGTCTTTAAAAATTTTGGCAGTAATGGATTTAAAATTCTGAAATTCAGAGTAATGATAAAATGGAATATTTTCTTTTTGGATAATATCGTCAAAATAATCCATCCAACACTCCCATTTTTCATCGTTTGTCGTTCCTAGAGACATGATTAACTACTGTATTAAATACGACACCGATTTTTTATGTATATTATTTGTCACACACATTACGACGGTAGTCACACTCATCACTTCAACTCCTTTTTGAGAAAAAGAAACCATAATCCTATCCGTCGTACTGACAAAAATGTCTTTTCTTAAAATTTTATTGGGTAAATCTATTTGCCACCCTAAATTTGTTAATTTCGCCCTACGGTGGCTATCACCAGTGGTGACAAGCAATTTTTTAAAAATTTTAACAGTTTTGGCAAATTGATGAACTTTTACGTAATCGTAATCAGCATCAGTGTTTGAAATTCAAATTTTAAATCCTGTGCGGAATTTACAAAATTTAGAATTCTATATGCAAAAATTTGTGCGGATGCCTTTTTTTTATGTGCGAAGTTTCCGAATTTTGCTCTAGCACACATTCCGCACATTGAATTCAAACTCCATCAGCAAATTTAATAATTTCGAATTACTAATAGTAACAAATCCAACTTTTCACGCACGTGAATACCTTTGGGCGTATCACTTTCTTTTTTATTTTTAAAAAAAAATACTTTATGTCGAATTTTGTGTTATAATGCTCGCATTTATTACTGAAATATTTGAACCCTTGTGAAATATATAAAACAGAATAAAGAGGAGACTCCGTTAGTCATTCAAAAAATAAACCTTTTATGACCTTTTATAATTAATTACTGTTAAAACGCACAAATTATCAAATAAATTTTGTTGTAAAGTAAAAATTTATTTATTCTTTCGTTACATTCGTTATAATTATTTTCTTCAAAACAATGCAATACTTATAAATTTAATGTTGTCATTTTATTACTTAAATTATAAATATTCGCAAATTATTTATAAGTGCTAATAAATAAAATGTGAGAGTACTTTTTTTATTATTAAGTCAGAAAATGTAGTGTGTTATCAAATGTCAACTAGAAATTAATTAAAAAAATTATTAATGTTACAAATGCACAACGGGTGTCTAAATTGCACATACTTTTTTTTACTAGATTCCAGAGATATCATATTATATATTTTTGTTAAAATTGAATGTCTATAAATAGAGAATAAAATTGACAAAAAATAAATAAATTTATTCTTTAATCGTTAAGCATAACGTTCTCGTTGAATATTAAAGATAGGTACCAAATATCTTATATGAAATTGTAGCCAGCATTGATATCTATAACTTGAGTTAGATGTCCTTTTCGTAGTATCTAATGAAAATTTCGACTTCACTTAGACGTGAATAAAAACAGACGAAATTTATAAAAAATAAATAAATAAAAATTCCGTAAACGATCATCAATAATTTATACATACTGTATGAAAGATTTTTATTTAAAAATTAATAAATAAAATACTACTAAAGCTGAGATTATAGAGCATATTATATAAAGTATTCAGATACATTTAAAAATAATTGGCTATTAAATTCTAGAGAATAATTTTGGACGTTCAGTGTTCAAACCATTGATATTAAATTTAATTCTTATGAATAAAATATAAAAGTTTACATGAGATGCCCCACATCTGTGGTGCTATAATGGTTTAAAAAAATCCATTTTTTTTTCTATTATAGAGGTTCCGCACTGTATAAATACTTAAAAGCGGAATTTAGGTTTAAGAATTTTTATTTTACGTCATATGAGTAAGATCCTACGTTACTTTTACAAAAAAGGAAAAAGAATAGTACAGTGTTATGTTTGACATGACATTGATATTACCTTATAAAAAAGATGCAGATTTGTGTACGTACAAGAAATTGTACAATGGAAGTTCATAACGTCTTAATATTACCTTATAAGATGCAAGAATTATACAATAGAAGTTTTAACGTCTGTTTTGAAGTTTAGAATTTTTTAATAAAAAAATGACCTTTAAATTTTTTGATAAATTATCTCTTGATTTTTCAGGACTTCTTAATGACAAAACAGAATGTAATGTTGTAATTGAAGTTGGTAAAGAAGAAAATAAAAAATCTTTTACCGCACATACAGTTGTCTTACGTTATCGTTCACCCTACTTTGATAAAGAATTAGAGAACGTTCCTACGAATGAAAATCATATCAAAACTATCATTAAACCAAATATTTGTGTTCAACCATTTGAAATTATTCTTAAGTTTAAAATTATTTGTTACTACGAATTAATTATATGGGGACTCCCTCAGCAAAAACATTTTCTCGTCTCAAAAAAATTTTTTTGAGAAAATACGTTTAAAATTTTTTTTGAATTAAGGTAATTTAATTTTATGACAAAATCTCAAAAATATTTTTTTTTTGAGCCGAGAACCTGTTTTTGCTGTGGGAGGCACCCATATTGTGACTAAAAATTAATAAAATAAAATACATTTTATAGATATATTACGGTGGAATTGTTGATATTGAAAATACGAATGACAAAACTGTTTTTGAATTAATGGTCAGTGCCAATGAATTAGAACTTAAAGAACTATCAATAAAATTAGAAAGCTATCTTATCGAATCTAAAGCTTCTTGGTTAAGAACTCATTTTTCCCTTATTTATCATTCAATCTTCGATAGTAATGATTTTGAAGGTCTGAAAAAAATTTTATCATGATATTATTGTAAAACATCCTACTTTGATTTTTGAATCAGGAGATTTCACTTCACTTCAAGAAGCAGCATTGGTTTCTATTTTACAAAGAGATGACTTGAAAATCGAAGAAATTAAAATTTGGGATTATGTTATAAAATGGGGAATTGCACAAAATCCTGCTTTACCTGTCGATTCGAAAGAATGGTCTAAAGGAAATTTCAAGGCTTTGAAAATAACACTACAACAATGTTTGCCACTTATACGATATTTTCATATTTCTAGTGAGGATATTTGGGAGAAAGTGAAACCCTATGAAAAAATCCTTGAAAAACAGCTTTGGGATGACATGATCCAACGTCAAATGTTCCCAAATAAACCCGTTGAATCACTTATTTTGCCAGCAAGAACCATTTTAATTCCTGAATTACCCTCAAGAACAATTTCAACCCCCGAATTACCTTCAAGAGTGAATGAACCATTCTCAACAATAATAAACAAAGAACATGTCGCAGAACTTTCATCATGGATTGATCGAAAATCAACTACTTCTTTTTTAGCAAATATACCTTATGAATTTCAATTAATTCTTCGAGGGAGTAGAGATGGTTTTAATCCCAAGACATTTTGGGACATGTGTCACGGACATGCTGGCACAATTGTGGTTGCAAAGATTACTGGAACTGATGAAATAGTTGGTGGTTATAATCCTTTGGCTTGGGATAATTCAACAAGCGGTGCTTCTATAGAAACAAAAGATAGTTTCATTTTTTCATTGAAAAATGGCGATATTCGAAAATCAATTAGTTTTAAATCAAAATAGAGCTCTAACGTACTATGATTCTGATCGACAGAATATTTATGGTCCACATTTTGGCGGCAATGAAGTTGGATTTATGATGAAATCAGATGTTTTCAATTTTTCTCAAGATAAACAAAGTTTTTGTTTTTTTAGTAATCTTGCTTTTCCTTTTCTTTTTATCAATGATTATCAAATTCCTATTAGAAAAACCAATGATAAATTTTCTATTGTAGATTATGAAGTATTTAAGATTATTAAAGAACAAAATCAAAACTGTACAATTAGATAATATATGTAATCTTATTATTTAAACAACTCGCATATTTAATGGTAATACTATTTATTAATAAATTAAAATTAAAATTTTTTTGCTTTAATAAAAAGTTAATGAATATTTATGCGAATTTATGTCAGTTCAAATATTTTAAATTTATTCTTTATTAAATTGGAGTTAATATTTATTTATATGTGAACCTTCATTTAAATTTATACTATTTAATACGATTACACTTTTTTTATATTTATTGTGCTGTATATCTGAATTTAATAATATAGGTAAATTTAATAATGTCTATCAGTAAATGATTCATTTTCATCAGATTTTTGATGTCGACATTTATGATTTCGTTGTTTTATCTCTATCTTTCATTGGAATGTTCCAAATTTTCATTATATTTGTCATTATATTTTTATTTGTGTTTATTGTAAATAAATAAAAATTATTTCTGAGTTTTTTAATTTTTCTTTCTAAATAATTGCCGCTCGCGTCTTACAATTCTTCAATTAATTATGTAGATACAGTTCGTTTCGAATAAAAATAATATAAAAGATTGGGAATCGACATGCATAATATATTAAATTATGTTAAACATTAGATCAAAAAAAAATATATCAAAATTATTTATGTATTATAATATAGCCTATTACAATAATTAAGATGCATTTTTCAAAGCTTCGAACAAATATCGGTTCTAACCTGCATATATTTTGAGTTAGCATTAAAACATTAGGATGAAAATTAAAATTCGTTCAAGAAAATTATTTAATTTACCACCTATCACAATAATACTCTCTATGTTCGAATAAATTATAAATTTACCAATATAAAAAAATGTTATACTAAAGTTTATGCCTAATTAATAGAATAAAGACTTCCAACCGGGTACTTTTTTAATATGTTAATTTACAGATAAAAAAAGAAATGCTATTAGTTTCATGTTAACTAGATCAATGATTAAACAAAATAAATAATTAAAAAAAATGACATGAAATGCATAACATTCCTTTTTAGTGCATAACAAAGGAATGTGCATTAAACAAGCAAACAAATGAAACATGACCTGCATAATGTATAAATTTGAATCGTTTCTTTCCAGCTCGTGCTCTGTCATAAAGGATCGTTCATCGCTTGCCGTTATTATTGCCGTATAGGATCGTTTGTCCAATGTTCGTACTCTAAAAACAAATATAAATAAATAAATTAATCGATTTCTTTATTATTATTATAATTCAAATAATAAATCATAAATAGAAAATAATGTCCGAAATTAATAGATTTATAATTCAAATGATTAAATCAAGTATTATAAATAAAGAATGTTGAATTAGTATCTTTGTAATTAAAACGATAAAATAATAAAAAATAAAATAACAAATAATTGATATATTCCCTATTAAGGGCATAAATATCATTGAAAGGATTAAAATGGAGAGCATTAAAATATATAGAATATATAAAATATGCATATGCATAATAGATTTTTTTTCTTGATTTTATAATATTTTTAATTTGGCATGTTTTCTTCTCTTGAATTTTAATAATTTCATCGATTTTATATTTTTATATTTATTTACGTTGCTGAATCAAGCGTTTATTCTTTTTGATTAACATCTCCATTATAATAATCCATTTCAAAATGGCCATTTTGGTGCCATTCCGTACGGCTGGTTGTTGTTGCTGGATAATTTGGTCTCGTCCTAATTGAGATCTTCTAATATATGGTTGAAGTTTTTCGTTGGTATTCATCGTTTCCTTAGAGATAATGGTCTATTTTACCTTTATTTTGGTGGTTCTAAAACCTTTGATAGTCTTGTGATTTGTATTCTTAGTTATTGTTGTTATGGTGGTTGTTGTTCTGGTAATAATCTAGGCAACAATCTAAACAAGTTTCTTGATGATGATGCAGTTGTTGTTGCTTAAGTTATCGCATATTAGATCATGATTTGATTTTTCATCATGGCATATGCAGTATTTTTAGGCACATTTCACAATGTCAAACTTCATTCGCAACAACAATACAAGAACAATTCAATATGAAATTAACATATATAATTATAATAAATAATAATCACAATCATGGATATATCATCAATTCGATAAAGAATTTTTAAGCGATTAATAAGTGATCTTTTTTTCTTTAAATTTAAAAATTTAATTATCGTTATTATCATATTTTTCGGTATTTGTTTCAGCTAGGAAAAATACCTAGACAAGTTAAATAATTAAAAAATATAAAAAGGTGGGAGGATTATCTTCAGGAAAAATTTAATAAATAAATTTAGATAAATATTATTAAACCAAGTAACATATGCAATAATCAAGTATTAATAATGCAAATACTCCAATGAAAGTCCCAGTGGAAGCATAAGAGTTATTTCTCAATTATCCTTTAATTAGAAATACTATTTTCCTAAATCATCATCGAAAATTATTTTATCGTTTAGTAAAATGGATGGAAAAGATTTAATATTAATTAATTATTGCCACCAAATCTTATTTCGTTTTTAACTTTAGAACAATAACATTTCGAGAGAGAACTATGAATACTAAATGAGGTAGTCGAATGTATTCAATCATAAAATGGTTATTATTAATGATAACGATCGATAAGGATCGTTACTTAGTTATTTTTAATGCAATTATTATTATCCAACAAATTTTTGTTAAATTTAATCTTTCACTATATCATTATTAGTATTTAAAAAAGACCATAATTATAATTTTTAAAATATACTACTTGCATTCATCAATTGAATTGCATGATACAAATTATTTTGTGCATTTTTTTTATTATTTTCAAAATATTTTTTATCGTAAATTGTGAAAATTATAATTGAGTGAATAATGTAAATTGTATTTATTATTATAGATTATAATTGTTTATAAAAGAATAATGAAAAAAATAATGACTGAAGGAATTAAAGTCTTTGTGTTGATTTATAACGATCATGATCTTCTAAATAATCTTGCTTTTTACTAAATCTGCTTGCTACAATATATCTTATACTCAACCTGAGTGCAACACTGAAGAAGATAAGGTATCGTTATTATTGATAATCTTCCAAGCATTTTTTCTTTAGATCGAAATCCAATTCTTGTGATTTTTTTAATAATATCATCGAATCGATATCATGAAATAATTCAATAACAAATTTCCATGCATGTTGTTGTTGATTAAATTCATAACCAGCTACCCTTATTTATTCCCATATTTAAATGAGATTTTCGGCGAAATATGTTATAAGACTATTATTTAACTAAAAGTAATATTTTTTAATTTACAATTTGTTATTTAAGAATTGATAAATAAATAATGAAAAAATAAAAATTAACTAATGATAAGAAACAAAATAAAGAAAAATGAATACCAATTCAAAAATATCTTAAAAAACATCCAAATCTCTATTACTATATATTCTTTAAAATAATAAGTCTTAATTCAAGATTCAAGAAAATTAAAAATTTCCATATTTTCGAATTTAACTTTGAATTTTAAATAAGAGTAAATCATTATTCAATATTTCATCTTCGCTCCATATCTTTTGTTATAATAGCGAAAATTTCGGAACAGATTTTGATGATAACTATTATGATGACAAATACTATGATGATGAAGACAATCACGATGAGTAGTATTTCTGTACTATTAATTTTGCGTTTTCACAATCACCCTCAAGTACTTATTATGAATGAAAGAAATAGATTGATCAGATTGATTGTTGAATATTATATTTTCAGCGGAGTTGAAGTTTCATCATGAGACCTTTTGGCATCTTTCATTTAGGTATATAAGTGTCTCGTTTTTAATCATCTTTTGATTTTATTTCTTATTATTTTATCTTGGATTGATTCTTTACAAATAAAATAAATAGAAAAAATAAAAACAATAAAATAAATATAATATATATTCACATTATTTTTTTTTTGAAATGACAAAAAAAAAAAAAATAAAATAAAATTAGTTAATTAAAGAACTATTTCTATATTCAACTTCTTTTTTTAGAAGATCTAAAAATAGTAATTTAAAAAAATTTCATTTTAAGTAAATTTAAAATGAAATAAAATAAAAATAAAATTCTAAGATTATTTATTGAGTATAATCAAATGGCATTCAAATCTTTTTGCAGAAGAAAATCAATTGAAATTGGTATAAAAATTCTTTATAATTTGATTTAGATGTAATTGATATTATAGAAGTTCAATATATTATAAAAATAAAATCTGCAGATGATAGATGAGATATCTGATGATATTTAATGTTTAATATTAATAGGTTCACGGTATTAAATTAAATAAATTGAATAAATAAATTAATTAAAATAAACAAATAAATTAAATAAATTAATACACAAAAAAAAGAAAAGTTGTTATTTTCGAGAAATAAAAAGAATATTTTTTAATCTTAATTAATAAATATTATTATACTATGAGAATGCAAATGACTTCATTAATCCATAATTTTCATTACATATTTTTTATAAATGGCTCAATCAATTAAGAAGCACCAACAAGACTTATTACTATGATTATTAATGAACATATGCAATTGATATATAATATTTGTTGTAACAAGCTAAAAAAAAGATTTGAAAGTCACAAATTATATATATCTTGTTGCTAATTTTTTAATTTTTTAATTTATAGTAAAATTAATTGGAAATAAAATAAATGAACATGCAACAAAACAATGAATATATACATTTCTGGCATGACAGAATTTACAAATATCAGAACCCATCCTCATGATATCTGTAATAAAATTAATTAATTAAAAAAAAAATTAAATTGACAAAGTACTTGATGGATTGTCTTTAAAAAAAGAAATAGATGTATATCTTATAGATAAATCAGAGTATAAAATTTGATAAGATTGATTACCCATAAAGCAAGAAATTATAAACAATGCAGCAAGTGTAGTTGACAATTCATACACCAAAAATCTATAAAATAATGCCAATCAAAATTTGGTTTAGTAATTACTTGTTACAAATGATGATAAAAAAACTTAGGTGACATCAATCCTGAAATGATCCTTGAACTTATATAAACAGTTGTGTAGCCAAACTCAAAAAAAAAATAGAGCAAGTATTTAATATTCTAGTCCAGAAGTTTGGATTGTGCATTTTTATAGAAAGATTCTGTTGAAGCCACATTATTGTTCTAAATATGAATATAAAATCTTCAAATAAGACTATTTGAAATGGAAAATATCACAGAGTCTTTCTTCAATCCTATTTTTAAAAATTAAACATATAGCAATAAAGAGAGGGATCTCAAAATTGGCAAATGTTTTAGATCAAGTATAATTAAAAAAGTAAAAAAATTTGTAATAATAGAATAAAAATTTTAAAATATGAATGACATGCTGGTAGTTGTCAATCTAAGATCAGTTTGATCTTGCTATTGCATGCATAATGGCTTGAACAATTTTTTTAAACTCAACCTCTTGTTGCAATTCAATTATAACTTTATATAGTTTTATAGTTTAGAAAAATGGGTTAGAATTTATATGTTTAGTGTTTTGGGAAGTGAATATTACCTTGAGATACCTAAATATTTAAAAGGAAAAAATTATACATGACTTTAATTAGTTGAAAAAAAATCAATTTCACAAGATATAGCAAGATACAGAAGAAAAATGACATGAAATATTCTCAGCCATCTACTGCCTTCAACATAATATTTTTTGTACATCAATCCTTCAAAATCTTACCAAGCTGTTATGGCAGCATTATATAATCTTCAATTTTATTCTATTTTTATCCTTAAAATCTTTCTCACCAATATAACATTTTTCAATTATTCAGAGAAGTATTATTTTAATTAAAAAATATCAACTCCCATAAGCAATAAAATTAGATTAAGATTAAATATCAATGAATTAAATTAATTATCTACAAATAAGTATACAAAAATTAGATTATTATTAATTAAATTACTTGATAAGTTTGGTTAGGCTTTAGAAAATGGAGGAGTTATTACATTAAACTGTTTTCTGCTCACAACATCACCCACTGTATGTTACAAATAAAAGCATAAATAAGCAATCATCTATATACTCTTATGAAACATGAAACAATATATTTAAACAAATTTAATTTGTAGTAGAAATATGTGAATTATAAAATGAGATAAAAAAAATAAAATTCACAAATAAATAAGAAAATAATTATAATGAACTAAATCTGTGATTTTTTTTTCCATGCCTGATGAAATTTCTTATCTGATCAATGAGCAAAGCACATTTTTGACAAAAGTTTTCTGAAGAGGATTTAATATTTTTAACAAGAAATTAAACTTTATAAAATTAATATTGATAGAACATCTATAGAATTCTCACTAGAAAAATTTTATAGTTTTTTTAGTTAAAATAAATAAATAGTAAACATAAGTAATAACCAAAATAATGTAATTATTAATGCATCTAACTTAGAGCCAAGAACTCAGTTTCACTTTGTATCACTTGTTCTGAATTATTGAAGATAAAAAGGAAGATGAATAAAAAAAAATAGGTAGAGGTAGTTTCAAAAATAAATTATTTATTTTGTATTTCAATACATTTAGAATGTATAATGATTCTGAAGAAAGAGCATTTAAAAAATCACTTTCAGTATCCTGATTCAGAAAATACACTATTAAGATTGGAAACTTGCCAAATGTTCTTTATTTCTTTATACATTTTTATTTATTATTAATTATTATTTATCTTAGTTTATAGTATTTGTTATTCAATAATTAAATTTATT